CCTTTTTTAATCCATATAACAACATTTATCGTAAAACGTTGGAATCCCATTTTTTTTCTTCTCTTTATTTTTATTTTTATTTTTCACGTTCCCATATGTCCCATTATGAAAGTATAGTGGTAATAAAAATAGAAAGAGAATAAGGAAAAGCATTGAAAGAGAATAGAAAAAGAACATAAAACGACAAAAAAAAGAAAAGAAAAGGAAAGGAAAGAAAACTAAAAGGTATATACACAGTTAAAAAAAAAAAAAGAAAAGAATTCTTAAAGTTTTTTTAACCCATGGGGATTATTCTAAAGGACATAGTTAAAATTGTTCCTTACCTACCTCATCGTTCTTGGCTGTTTATATATAAATAAATCTTCGTTTATATTTGAAATACCTTTTTCTTAGCTTCCATTCTKTACAAGTATAGAAAATTTATTCAAGGCTTAATAGTTCGCAGCTGGAGTTGCAGGATTAAATTTGAGAAAGTTTTGAAAAAAAAAAAAATATTATAAACACATTTTCTTTTTTTCTATATAAATTCTAATACTATTGGGATATTTGGCAGGGGCCCTATCTGTGCATTACTTATATCCYAATAGTACTGTATATACTAAATATGCTACATACTACTAATATAGTATTATTATCTTRCAATAATGTATGTGTTTCTGTCTATCTAATATAAAATTATATAAAATATATTAAAAGATATATACATGTATGTTTTAAAATCGATTTTCTTCTAGTTCAAGTTTGACATAATTATCGAATGTTAAGAAAAATATTTGTCTGCATGATATCTTACTTATAGTGCATTCTCAAAGATAATATCACATTGATATCACACTCAATTTTCAATATCCTATCAAAATATACGAAGATCGAATAGAGAAAGTTTCCGTTTTTTGTTTCCGAATTAAAATGTAAGTTTTCCTCGCAAGGGGCCCGGGCACAATGGTTCAAGGACTGAGCGCCCGGGATAACAAACAACACGAAAAAAAAAAAATGTAAGTTTGACTTAAAGAAGAAAAAAATGAGAACTCGTTGAATATCCTATTATTATTTTTACCTATTAAAAATAAAAATATACAATACGTATCAGTAAATAAGTTGGTAAAAATTGTATTTCCCAGCTAATGTCAGTTAATTGTTTTTGAAATTGTCACAAGTTATGAAACTTTAACGAAGTTTTTCTTAGTTCTCATTCTCATAGATGTTAAAAAATGGGTCATTAGGGTTATCCATAATGATATTACGTATATATATATATATGTACTTACTTAAGTTTCCTTCCTTCAAAAGCTTTACTATCAGTTCCCTCATATCTTTTTAAGTATGGTAGAGATTAAACACTCTAAGGAATTGGAAGATAAATTKTTATCTAGACGACCAATTTTATACAGGATTTTAACAACATCGCTTATATTGATCTTTTACAAATGGACTGTCTTCTTTTTTAATAGTAGTAGTAGTAGTAAAAATATTATTTAAAAACAGGAGAAGAGAAATGATTATCTTTCRAAGACATGCTAACGAAAGATGCAAATCTCTGTTGCTTTGAACAATTTGTTCAAACTATTAAAACGAGTTTYTTGGCAGATTTACTTGAGTCGTTTAGAGAAGAACTACTAAATCGTTAGCACGGTGGTCTAGTTAAGCGTCAACATTTTTTATCGGTTATAGGATAAAGTCCTTGCACATACACACAAGAACACACTGGCGGAATTTGAATCTTTAATTTGCAAATATGTCAATTAATAATAAAAAGTTGAACCCTAATTTTCTCGAAAACGGCTGTACCTAGAAAGCTAATTACTGTATATCACATGTACGGTCTGTAATCTTAACGAATCCATATAAATTTATAAAGTTTTATAAACGTTTTCAAAATACAAGCCTTTGAGATKAGTCTAGGCTTCGTCCTAGTACACATCTGTACAATGGCTGGCTAGTTTATTAGATAGGGATGAGGTGTACTATGAAGCACCGCATGAAAAGGAGACCTAGAATATGAAAAAATGTCTAGCTATAGGATGTTCTATATATATTCACGATTATTACTATAACGAACTATATTCAACCTTGAAACCTTCAAAACTRAAACTAAAAATATGAAATAAAAACTGAAATAAAAAATTGCCTGAACCAGCGTTTTATTTTTTCAAATCACTCCCTATTCTGAAGAAGTTTTCACTTCAAAAAAAAAACAATTTTAATCCGATTTTATTTTTTTTTTAATGCTATTGAAGTTAGTTAAATTATTTTGTTGTAAATATTATCATTAGTGGTAAAATATATAAAACATTTTCGTATATGTAAAAGAGGGTAATTAATGTTAGGTGCTTCGAAGAAAAAAGGTGTCAAGTGTGCTAAAAGTCTTAACGCTCTGGCTATTTCGATCGATTCAACGAGACCTTCCTTTCTTTTTTCTTTTTTTTTTTTCACAATAAATGAACAAAAATGAACGAAAGAATTCTCTAAACAAGATGATCAGAAAAAGAAGAAATAGAAAATAAATAAGAAAAAGAAGAAATAGAAAATAAATAAGAAAAAGAAGAAATAGAAAATAAATAAGAAAAATAAAAGAAGAAAAGAAGAAAAGAAGAAAAGAAGAAAAGAAGAAAAGAAGAAAAGAAGAAAAGAAGAAAAGAAGAAAAGAAGAATTAGTATATTACTCACCTAAGGAGCAAAGTATGGCATTCCGATCCGTATAATATTATCACCCGAGCCGAAGGCGAGGGTGATAAAAACGCGGTTTCCGCCTTCCTCTCTTCCCGCTGTGTAAAACGAAGTTGCCGCTTTCTTACTATACTGTCCTAGGTATGTAATATACTATTTTATTTGTTGTCAATTAATACATTTTGCGAAGATTATGCAAATTTAACAACAAGCAAGGGGTCTAGGGGTGAAACCCCTGGTGGGGGCCTGGGGGCAAAGCCCCCAGAAAAAAAAATCAGGGGGTCCGGGGGCACAGCCCCGGCGGGGGTTGGGGGCGGAGNAAAAAAAAAAAAAGTTGGAACTTGCACACTTTTTCCACATTTTGAAAATCTCGTCCGAGAAATTGTCGGATTTCAAATTTTCCCGGGGCGTACGATAATTTCACGCCCCTGTGTCGATCAGACGAACTAAAGTCTCTGGGATCGCTGTGTTCAGTCGTTATATCAGTCATCAGTTTAATACAGTTTATAGTATATTGCATTTAAGAAGAGTTTATTAGTTTATATCAAGTAAGTAATCTAATATGAGATTTTAATTTAAAAGAGGTTATATTAATGTAAATTCTATAAAGTCATGTTTAAAATTACGTAATTGTCATCACATCAGCGTAAAAGGTTAAGTAGATTTAGAAATATGTAGAATTGAATTACATACCACATAATGAAATGCAAAATATGTACAACTTATAAAAGCAATATCATTTCTATAATTAAAAGAAACATAATTATAGATTTTAAATATACTTTGATTAATTTTATAACAATTGTTATAACAAAAATTCTATTTTTGATATAAAAGATATTTGTATAGTACATTTTTGTAATATTACAAGTATTGGTTATTATTTTAGGAATGGAATCAGGTGTTCACAAATCACCTCTCATAACTAACGCAATTTCAGCAGTACTTGCACAAACTTATAATGCTCAATTGTCACCAGACTGTGCAGATTTTGAACTAAGAGCAATAGAATGTTATGAAGCTTATGGTCTTCATGGTGGTACTAGAAATAAGATATGCCAAGATTTTATGGACGATCTTAGAGAATGTATGTTCAAAACAAAGACTGCGCTTCGATATCATGAGATGCAAAAGGAAAGATACCGTCAATACAAAGAAGGACTTAGAAAGGAACAATATTCTCCAGCACCAAATCAAGATCACGAATAAGAACTCATTAAAACATTAAAATGTGATATAGTCTTTATTGTAAAACGTGTGTAACTTAACAACACATCTTTGAAAAATGAAATATTATTAGCGATTGAGAAATTTCAAATATTAACAGGAATTCATGTAAAAAATCGTATGTTTCTTATATGTTCAAATCTTTGAATATACATAATTTCATTTGAGTTTAAATGAATATTTTAAAGAAAAATTATTAAATGTAAAATATTTATAATGACTCAGCAGTGATCCCATTCGTACGATAATTATCGTACGCGTCACATAATTTGAAGCATTGTACGATCCAAAATTCAGCTTGTATGTAATTAACGACAATTCGAAATTTCGATGTCTTGATTTTGTTTTTGTTCCGCGATTCGGTTGTCGTCGTAGCGCACCCTACCGTACACAGTTAGACAATTTTTTAATAACCACAGCCAGGTAACAAGTGAAAATAGCTCGGAAACCAATCAAAAGTCAGGAAAACCTGAAAACTAAAAAACAGGAAATAGGAAAAAGAAAGATACGGAAACGAACTTGAGGACCCAAAAAAAAGAAGGTCATCAAGTTTGAAAAAGTTTCTACTTTTACTCTTTTTGCAGATTTGAAAATGTAAAAATTATAAAATTTATAAATCTAAAAGCTAATCTTCAGAAAATCAGGAGTGTCAAACCGAAAATTCCAAATTTTTTCCTGTGCGTACGATAATTTTACGGCCCTCTGTCGATCAGACAAGCTAAAGTCTCTGGGATCACTGATAATGAGAAGATTCTAAAATAATGAGAAACTAAAAGAAAAGTATTCTTTAAAAAATATTTGGTATATTAACCATAATCAAATGATTACAAATTTAATAAACAAAGATATAAAAAGCAGAGAAATAGAAGAAGAAGAATTACTTTTTTATTAGTGCTAAATATATTTTACTGATAAAAGAGACGTATCTTTTTAAAATCTAATTACGTCCAGAATTGTTTTTTTGAATATCCGCAACAAATTGTAATTATTTTTATTTCTAACAAAATGTCTATATATATATACATATATATTTATCCTTATATCTGTTTTTTATATCTTTGTTCATTAAATTGGTAATCATTTTATTATGGTTAATATATCAAATATTTGTAATGAATACTTTTCTATTAGTTGTCCCTTATTTAAAAATTTTAAATGTATATCTATATATATATATATATATATATATATATATATATATATATATATATATAAATATTATGTAATTATTAGAAATTTTCTTGCAACTGATAGATGGCGACAGAGAGAAGATATCGAAACTACACTAGCGCCATCTATGCAGTGGGTTAGTTGTATGTCGGTAAAGTACACCTGTCTGCTGTCATCGCTACTAAGTGTCGACTGGCTGTCAATGTGACGGACGCTCACGGGTAAATAATGGTGATGAATTTTTTGTTATATGACGGGAATATAAAAGTAAATAAATAATTAAAAGGAATAATAAAAAAAAGATGTAAGTGTGAATTTAATGAAATATCAAATAATTGATAGAAAGACAACGACGACACGACACACAAGAAAACACGCCGGTAAGTGCGTATTCTTCATGTATTCGTTTTTTCCCCCCGAAAAATGTGTTTTATAATCGCGTTTTCCAGTTTCTTGTTATTTGATCGTTACATAAACGATAATATATAAAAAAGTGTAATTAAATAAACGAATTAAAGTATAATTCGTGTATGATAAACGTTGTGTGAAGAGACGTGAGTAAAAGTAAGCAAAAACCTCGTGCTTTTTCATTTTTGCATCGTGTTAACCGGGTAGAGTGAGCGCGCGCGCTCTATCTCTCGTCTAGTCTAAATGAATGATGGAGTGGGAGAGAAAACACGGCGTGGGCAAATAACAAAGCGCGGGAATCGGTAACGTTTCTCCTTTATGTCGTCGTCGTCGTCGTTGTCATTATCATCATCATCATCATCATCATCATCATTATCATTATCATTATTATCATCATCATCAACTAACATCAAACTAAAAATGTATATTATTTTTTTTACACACTTAGACGATTTATTAAAAGGTTCGAATAAAAATCAACTATGAGATTAATTGCACAAGTAAAATCTTTATAGATTACATATATATATATATAATACGTATACATATATAAATGTCAAATCGTGATATCCCTTCTTCCTTTTCCTATGTTTGACAGTTCGCTGTTTGACGGACTTTCTTGTGTAAACAACGTTGCTGAGAGACACACATATACATATATTACACCATCTTTCTGGCGCGCATACATTGCCTTAACATGGTTTATCCTTCTATAGATGATCACCATAATCATCATATAGGTAAGTAATTAATATTATTTATTTATTTAAATGTTTTATTAATTTAAAAAGAAATTTTTCTTTTTGAAAATTATACGTGTGTTAGTTAGAATAGTAGTGTTGTGTTTGTGACTGACGTTTATATGCATGTATATATATATATATATATATATATATATATNTCTTTCTTTATTCCATGAAAACTGCATTTGGACATTTCCTACGTGTGAGCAAGATAAGATCTCTCATACTAACTTTGCAAATGAACTCGTATTTTATTATGATTCTAATTCTCGTTCACTTTTCTATCTCGTGGACCATCAATGAACTTGGAGTTCATTGACCATACACGAGAACATTTAATCGAATGTCCAAGTAGATAATAATTTCCCTCGATGACTTAATAACACTTCGCACTATTAACGTCGAGTAGTAAAATCGAATTGAAATAAATAGTGCWATAAGTGTAATGCATTTTCTTGCAATACCATCATTTCATTAATTCGTTATTAATTTATTCATTAATTATATCAAATATTTCTAGATGTAAAACGAAATCGCGATAGTATGTAGTGCTAATCCTGAAATATTAATATCAGTGTAAGATTTAAGAAAAATTGATTTTTTTTTATCTTATCTTGAAGTGCATATAGTTGTGTGTGTTCTGTAATATTTTCAAATTTAAATTCGAATTATTACGGTCGCTACAACCTTTTTTGGAAAAAGAGATTGGAGCGTAAGTTGACGCGCGCTAAACGTTTAACGCGTTTTTCGCAAAATGCCCTTTTTATAAACGGTGTCACCTCTCAGAGGGAGAGTTTTCAAGTTATTGACTTGAAATTTTTACGGAATTTTTTTTACTTTATTCTTTATGTCCCTATGGAAGCTTTTTTTTTCTTCCTATTTTTTCACACAAAAAACTGTTGAGAAACAGGACTAAATTTCGTACTTTTTCTTTAAGCCGTCGCCATTTTGTCAAATTTCAAAAAAAGAAACCTCCATAGGGACATAGCGACTTCCCTACAGATTAATAGTCAATTTGATTTTTTTTCTTTGAGATGCAAACTGCGATAACAATCGTTGACAAGGATTGCCCCCATTTTTTTTACTCACTTTTTAAAATAATTATTAGTAATAATCATGATACGTAATAAAGATCACAGAATAGTTACAAAATAAATTAACAAATCAAGCATAATAGAATGAGATGATCAAATTTTGTAACAATTCTGTATAAACCAATAGGCGGAATTACCACTCCGGAGTCAAAGTAAGAGGTCTAATGCCTTTCCTGGATCCTACCTACTTAAAATTAAAGTTTTTACATTCATTCAGAGAAGTATGCTACCTGTTTGCCTATTACTCNTAAATTGACCGCATACTTCTTCTTCTTCTTCTTCTTCTTTTTCTTTTTTCTTCTTCTTTTTCTTTTTTCTTTTCTACATTATCATCATCATCATCATCATCATCATCATCATAATTATCAAAATGAAGGAAGTAGAGTTATGTTGTAAAGATGATTTAACGCTAGCCAACCACCCACCCACCCTCTTGTTTATGTCATATTAATTTTGCATATTAATGTTTATCTATAAGTTTATCTAAAGTGGTCAGTTACTAATAAGAAGAAGTAGAAGCGAGCAATGGGCACAAGCTTTTTTATTTCTTTGTTTTGCTCCTCTGACGTAGKYTCCCTTCGAAACGTAGGCKGGGAAAAAGGATGCTTAGGTTATGTTTGAGAAGGGAGGGGATTGGTCCTCGAAGGAGTCGAGGGTTTAGGGTCTGAATATCCCCTACCAAAGACCAAAAGTTCGAATACAGGAAATTCCATAACCATTCTACCTACYAATCTAACTTTCTAATACAACGCTAGATTTTATTGGTTGGGGTAAATAAATCTGCACAAGGGTTCTTCCAATACAGGCAAATGGAAAAGTTCAGTCCCTACCAAACGAAATTTCTAATACAACGCTAGATATTATTGGATGAGGGAAATAAATGTTGAGGGGATAACAAATGAAGAGCCACCTATACATATACATTTGAAAAAATGTTAGATCTGTCATTTTTAAGAAAGTTTTCGAGTGAGAAGTTTCTATGTTCTCCTTTCGTTTCTTTGTGTTTGTCAAGCATTAAATCAGTTTTTWAAAATCTTATACAATATTTCGCGTATTCAATTATACAACAGCATACATATTAGAGAATTAAAGTAGATAAAATATATCTGGTGCGTAATTCGTATAGTGATTCTAATCTGTATTTTTGAAAAATTGTTAAAAATCGTATTACAATGCTGAAGACTAAACAATTAAAAAAAAGTCTTACTCCAGAAAGACATGGAAGATGTCTGAACGAAGGCAGTCGCAATAATCAACGTGATAGAAATATTAGTAAGTAACATATATTAATTTAACAAATATTTTGGTTACACATTGAAACGTTCAAGTCATTCTTCTGTAATAGTAATCTCGGTACTCACATAACATAAAAACTTTCTAAAACATTTCTTAAAAATCGTTAAACCTTTAAAAAAAGTTTCTAAAAAATCTGGCATGAATTTAAGGTACTTTTTCTAGTGTAATAACAAACAGACGAATAATATTTTCACTATCTATAATGTTACAAAATATTCATTAATAATTCGAGAATACACGGAAAAAAAARATAGTGAAAAAATTKAAAATTGAAAATAATATAGGCTGATGAAGTAGGGCGTCCCCAAAAAACGACGCGCAACAAATGTCAAGATTGCAGCTCTCCTGGTAATCCGAAATAAAAAATTAAAACGGATTATTAATTTAGAATAATGCCGCTATCGTTCGAACTAAAAGAATTTAAAAAAGTTTATTTTTCGCTAAATTACAGCTGTTTGAAAAAAAGATACATTATTTTTACCACTTTTTTACTTTTCCGAATTTTTTTAAAATAGTTAAGATAAGGATTTTTGTAAGATTTTAATTTACACGATAGAGTAATGCATAGAGAAGACTCTCACCAAATTTCAAGCAAATCGGTTTAGTAGAACTTGAGATATCTTGACATTTGTGAAAAAAAAAAAACAGTTTCGAGAAAAACGCGTTCAAAGTTTCGAGAAATAAGGGTGGGATATAAGATCCCGCTTCACTAAAACAGCTATATCCCCGAAAATAAATTGAATTTTAAAAAATTCCTTGAGGACATATTCTTAAAAGGTTAAGCTTTGAAAATACGCAAAAAAAAAATCGATTTTTTCAAATTTCTAGACCAGAATACCCCCTTAAAAAAAAAGAAAAGAATCATTTTAGGCAATGCACGTGTTTATTCGGTCAATTAATTACTCAACTCAACTCGATAAACTAAACCATGAAAATTAATTAACCGCTAAACCGTTGTGGCAGTGAAGCTTGGTCGTTTCGAAACGAGATGAAACAAAAAGAGGTGTAAGTTTTTCAAAAATAAAATTGTTAGTAAAATGTTCGGTGTAAAACGCAAACGGTATATAAAATGTTGATGATTTTCGAATATAAAAAGACCGGGGTAGTCCGAGATGTAGATGGAAGGTCAATATTATTTCGGGAAGATTGTGAATGGAGATGTAAAAGAAACAAAATTCTCAGAGGAAAGACATGAGAAAAGAATAATGAATTTCGAAGTTCCCGTCATCCCCCTTCTCATTCAGTAGTCCTGATGCGTTCTACAAAATGGCGACACGATCAGTTGTGATCCTAGAGACTTTAGTTCGTTTGATCGACACAGGGGCGTAAAATTATCGTACGCGCCGGAAAATTATCGTACGCCCCGGGAAAATTTGAAATCCGACAATTTCTCGGACGAGATTTTCAAAATGTGGAAAAAGTGTGCAAGTTCCAACTTTTTTTTTTTTAGTCATCAAGTTCAAAACCCTATCATAAAAACGATAAAAACGGCGGTCCGCAGGGAGATAGACTTGTTCATAGATGTTCGTACAAAGATCGTACACGGATCGTGGTGGTGGTAGGGGTGGTGCTTACCTTTCCAAAATTTGTTGACTAAAAAAAAAAAAGGTCATCAAGTTTTCGAAATTCCAAATTAGATCGTACAGGGCCTCAAATTATCGTACGAATGGGATCACTACGATCAGCGTTGGTGGTTGCGTGATGCCTGATGATGCGTTTCCGGGAAGGAGCTGGGGAAGAGAAGGGAAAGGCTCAGTGCTGCCACAATACTGCCATAACGCGCGGGAGCTAGGGAAATGAATGAATACGTTGAGCACTGCGTCCGCCATTGGTTGTCACTAGACTTTTCGTTTAAGCCGCGTCAGTCATTGCTGACTGAAAGCGTATAACATAATATTTGCAAGCGGCGCGCGTGGCCTAACGGAGACTTCCTTGAAAATGATGAAAACTAACTAAGTTGCTTTAAAATTAACTTCCCCATGCTGGTATTTGTTTCTACCGTTAGGTGGTGTGGGATGTTTGTCTCTTGTCAAGCCGGATTCAGTCGTGTTATTAACTCCGTACGAGGAGGAGTTCGATTATCGATATCACCACTCATACGATAAAAAAACCTCATCGAAATGTTTGATCGATTTCAAAGATCCTTCTTCTCTATGGTTTTTTTCATACACACACAATTATTATTATTTTTTAACCATTGTAATTGAGTATTTACTCTGTTTTTTTTTTCTTCTTTATTCTTATAATTTAGCCGCGTGCATGCATAATATATGCCGTATATTATTATCGTTTGACGTTCGATTTGTTGTATTTGTTTTTTTACCAAAAAAGAAAAGAAGAGAGAAAGAGTGAGAGATAGAGAGAAACAAACTAAGAATGTCACAATTATTTAGTATTATTATTATATCCCATAATCATTGTTGTTCTGTTGTTCCTGTCACGTGTGTGTTACCTTGTTGATAGATTTTTTTTTCTTTTTTTCATCAAGGACAAATATTACGTTAGAAGACTAATTCGAAAGTTTTATCAAAAGTTCAAGATAAAATCGAGAAGAAATCATCTTTCAACTAATAATAATAATATTAATAATAATGTTACCAGTAATGTGTGTGTATGTAAAATCCAACCAATTAAATAGAGAAGAAATTAAATTCATATGTATATATATCGCGCGCGCCGATGGGGTTTTATTATAAGTTAAACGTAATTAAAAGTAATTAACAAGGCGTCGTTAAAAAACCTATTTTTATTGTCATTGTCATTTGTAAATTCTGCTTATCCAAAGATTGTAAATTATTATCGTGAGTGGAACCTAAAAAGGGTTTAGAAGAAGAAAGAAAGAAAAAAGATTTACAAACTACTAGTTTTAATCTGTTTTTAAGAGAAACAGAAAGGGAAAGATTACTATATCTTGTATATACATATATTTCACGCGCGCTTTACACGCGTGAGGACGTGATATTTCTTATATTTACTTTGTCAAACTTAATCTTGGAATAGTAATCGTAATTCATTGATATTAAGGCTAATAATACGTACTTTGACATTTTACATTGAACGCGTATTATCTGTCACTACTGCTAGTTGTGGGTATATTTTTTCTAAATTATTATTATTATTAAAAAAAAAAATAAACAAATAAAACGACGACTATAGAATGAATTGGAGGAATGGGGTGGTGGTTGTAAAAACGATGAAAATGTAAAAGTATCGGATAACGAATTTAAGATGTTACAACGAGTTAATCAACGATTGAACGAGGAGCAGAACATTTTCGATGACACGAGGTACATAGAAGGTATGAATAATAATAATAATAATAATAATTCTATTAAAATTGAAGAAAATAGTAAAGAACAACATTTAATGACATTATTATCGTAATTGTGGTGTTGGTGGTAGTAGTGATGGTGGTTTAGTGGTGTTTGTGAACGTAATCGAAATAATAATCATTGTAATTATTATCGATGTCTTATTTGTCAAATGAAAAACGATCAAATAGAATCATCTTCATCGTTTTCATTTTCTTCATTTTCAAAATCTGTTGGTGGTGTTAATGCTGCTACGAACACGATTTTTTTTATCAGGTAAGAAAGATAAGTACATTTGGGGAATGTGTGTGCATAGTGGAGGTGAAAATTAAGGTCAAGGCGAAATTGAAAATGCATATGTTTCCACAATAAAATGACAAAAATTTGATGGCAGGTATAACATCCACTGGAAGATCGTAGGTCAGGATAGAAAAAAAGAAAAAAGTTATAAGGGATAAGAAAAGGTTCGTCTCCTTTGTACTCATTCAACTGTCATTCTTATTAATCCTCTCTATAGTTTAGTTTTTGTGTCAAGTTAGTTCGAAGGTTGGAAAGGTCCGAGAATTCCTTTCATCTCCCCCATTCATTTTTTCCTGGAAGGACTGAAAATGTGTACATTAGTATTTTCTTCTTCTTCTTCTTCTTCTTCTTCTTCTTTTTCTTTCTATTTTTTTTTATTATAAATAGAAGAAACAACAATAGAAAATCCCTTAGGGGCAATTTTCTTCAAGATAGATATTTTATAGTTCTCAAGTTTCTCAAGTGCTCCCTGCGATTCTTCTTCTCACTTTTATTTCCTTTTTTCAGTATCGTTCTGTAACCAACGAGAAGAAAATATAAATAATATTATATTATATTTATTATATTATATTATTTAATAACTCGATTGACAGAAACTTGAATGACATTTTGAAGCCACGTGGTGCGAAACAATGACGTTTGAAACTTATTGAGAGGTTACGTTTAGTAGCGGTGGGGGATAGTGGGTTGCGCAAGGAAAAAGTTATGCGTACACGATAAAACGACATAGGCCTTCGTCCGCATTCCCGTTCGACATTGTGTTTCTTGCATGAGCGACTAAAAGGGAAAGGGAAGGGAAGGGAAGGAGAAAGGGAAGGAAAGGGTCAAGTCAAAGGAAAAAAGGCAAAAGAAACACACATGTGGTTTCTGAACTTCACACAACACATTGGCAACCCAAATAATATTTTTCTCATGTGTTTAAGATCATTTTTCAATATTAATAAATATATAATATATTAAAATTTGTATTAAAACCGGAAGAAGAGAGAATATAGTTTTAGCATAGGCAAATAAATTCTAATTAATCTCGTAGACGCGTATAGATGATTATCGTAAACGTTAAACGCTATAATTGACGTATTCGACGAGTCATGGTCGTACTTAGTGTGTGTGTTTATATCAATGAAACGAAAGAACTATATAACAAGTTCCACTCTCTCAAAATACCGTTGTATGTTGAAAATAAGCGAGAGTAAAACTAGAATGAAAGAACGAGTAATCACCTCTCATTTTTTTTTTTTTTTTAATGTAGCGTTATAGTGTGTATGACTATTAATAATAAAAAACCGGTGAAGAATAACATTTTTTTCTTTCCTCCGGGAGAAAAGCGTTAACTTTTTTCCCGCTGTTCAAAACGAAGTTGCCGCTTTGCGTAAACAAGAAAGCATCAGAGAACATGTTGGTTGACATTTCTTACTTTACCGCCCTAGCTGAGTAGTATACTATTTTTTATACCTATGTGAATGATGAATTCTATTTATTGGGAAATCCGATTTTTTAAATTTCCACCTTAAAAATCGGTTTCCTTTATTCCCATCAACTATTAACCCAACTCACATTCTCGGAAAAAAAGGAAACAATGTTACCTGATTTAGGAATCTCTTTTGTGATCAGGAATCTCTTTTGTGATCAGGAATGTAGTTTCTTTTTTTATTATTCTTATTGTTAACTTGATCATATGTTCAAAATTTACTCTCCAATGGTAGAAATTTTGGATGAATGGATTTTGAATGGTAAAAAATTTGGATTTCATCAATAAATCAATAGCTTGACAGTAATATAAATTAATGATACTTATAAATAATTTAAATATACCCACTAGAAAAATATTACAAAATTTGTTGTAAAAAAAATTCAAAGTGCATAATTGATAATGACACTAAAAGTGTCCTTGCTTGTTGATTCGTTCAACTTTGTTTACTCTCTTTCTCTCTCTCTCTCTCTCTCTCTCTCTCATTCAACTTTCATCAGGAAGTGTAAGGAAAAGGATAGGATGACAATGATGTATTTATGCAGTGAGTAATCGGTCTCACGATCTTTAAGGACGAAATGCGAACGAACGCAGAGTAACTCGGACGGACGACCGTGACCCGTTCCATATTTAGATACGATTATGTAGTATAACGTTGTTCTCTTCGTGTATTAACATTATTTCCTTGTTAAAATATTCAATAAGATATTTGGAAATCAAAGAAAAGTTAATACTTTACATTCGTAAATGATTTTTAATATCATGACCGTTAATAGAAAAATTTTTCAACAATATTTCGATCATATGTCAAATTTATTGTATTTTTCGTTTTTTTTTTCCTTTCTTCGAAATATTTTAGAAAATAAAATATAGTCATCGATTGAGGAAATTCCGAGGCTTCCTTGCATCTCGTTGTCTTCTTCTTCTTTTTCTTCTTCTTCTTCTTCTTTTTGACGTCGTTGACATCGTCTTACACGCACACGCATGAGCTACACGCTCTTTTCGTTTCACTTTTTAAATTACGTGCTTTTCAACGCTTGCTATCATTATTTTTCTTGATTTTTTCTTCTTTTCTTCTAAACAAAACAAATCTAATTGAATAAAAATTATACATTGTTATTAAACCAACCTGATGTTTTTAACTTACGAGAGGAGAGCAGCAACAGGTTTTGAAGTTTGAGAGTTTGTTGAATGTAGGTTGTTTTATGGGTATGGGTATGGTAGAAATGTCATTGAAAGTAGGACGGGGTATTGACGTTCTACATTACGAAGCAGTCAAATATTCTCAAGATTATATTTCAAGTTTTTGGTCTTCAAAAGAAAATATGATGACAACTACACAACTAAAAAGAATTGAAATATTTAGAAAATAAATGTACTTATAAAAGTAAACATTTTTATTTTTATTAACAGAAACAGATAGGTCCTTGTTTGAAAAGATAACATTAATAATGGAACCACAAATACGTCATTCTATTTTAATCAGGTAAAGATCTTGAAAGGATCATTTAAAATTCATGAAGAGTTATCGATGACGACAATGTCTCGAATTGAACAAAAGAAAAAAATAAGAACAAGATTTTTCACTAAATAAGATAGTATTTTTTCTTCTATTTTTTTTTTTTTTTCTAGTAATAATAATAACGATGCGCTTTTTGGTAATGTCGCGTTGTGTTCATCGATCGTTTTAACGATGCATATGTATTATTCTTCTTGTTCGATTTAACGTATGTAATCGACGTATTCAATGCAAAACGTTTGAGGGTGATGATCATCGTATACGTAAGCATATGTCAACGAGGTTACCGTTGTTTGTTATTCGTTATTATTCATTTTAACTATATTGTGTGTGTGTGTGTGTGTGTGTGTGTGTGTGTGTATGTGCACATATATCGCACAATGAATCGTTTACCAAGGTATATATTTTTACTATGTATTGAAATCTTACGTAGGGTCATTTATTATTACTATTAAAATTTATTAAATCACTTTTACCGTGTGAATATTTTTTTTTTCACACACACTAGCAAATATTGTCACGTTGCTAATTTGCATAAGTATTTTACGGTATATCATGAATTTTTTGTCTGTATTTATTATCATTATCCTACGTTAATATTTTGCAACTATTTTTGTAGATTATTATTATTATTCGTATACATTTGTAATGGTTATATTTGTATATAGAAGAAATGAAGTTTAGCAAACATTTTACGTATGATGTGTTACCATGATTTATTTGCTTTAACATCTTCTCTTACCCCGACATGAGGTCAACCTCAAGTCACTAGTAGAAGTGTCATATTACTTAGAGAAAATGCCAAGGAATTTCCAAAGTAATGTTAGGTGGTCGCAGGTAGAAAAAAAAACGAATTCTTACAAAAAAAAACGACCTTTTTTTCTATTGTATAGGTGTCAAAATTTTAAAGGTCCTTGTTTCCTTTTACCTACCTGGTTAAAACCGGTTATTTTTCATCCTCTTTCTTCTTTTTCTCTTTCTTTTTCTCTCATCAATCTATCTGACATTGATCATATCGTTCTAACGTCAAATCTGACGTTTGGTAACAATTTTTCATTTTCTTTTTTCTTTTTTCTTTTTAAAATGCCGAAGATTTTTAAAATGGCGTTGATATACATTGAACAGTGGTATATTTATATAATAAATTATTAATACGCTTTTGTATAAAGGGGAAAGCTCTCTCGAGTTGGTATAGTTACTCTTGTCAAACCCTAAGAACTCGTTCGAAACGAACACGCAACTAAAGTAATTGAACTCGGTTGAATTTATAAACCGATATATATCGTTTCGCGTCTATACGATCATTCTTTTACAGCTTCTTCTTCTTCTTCTTCTTTATCATTATCATCATCATCATCATCGTATTTTCTAATTGTTACACGAACAATACTATATCGTTCGAAATGAAATATTTCTTTTATATTACATATGATAGAAATTATTATTGCAACACCGAATGTTGAGTATTCTTGAAGATATTTGTTACACCACTACCACCGCCACAAGCAACTTCAACATTTCGGCCAAGATTCCTGACCAGATGCAAATAACATTATCGAACACCCCCGTTATTTGTGTTGTCTAGGTACTTGCTTGTTTGCTCGCTTAGCAATAGCAAATATATTCACCTAAGGTTTTATACTTTATTCTTAGTTTGTAAATGAAAATAATATGAGTACATTGTAGAAAAAGATATCATCATAGTTAAACGATGACAATGTGCGCGTGTGTAACTAAATAAACTAAACTAACTGCCAATCATTTTCATCCTACGCGTCATTCAGACACCTCGCCAAAATTCTAAGTGTAATTTATTTAACAGCAAACACACACATACACAATGTATATATATATATTATTATTATTAACGAGAGCGAATCATCCCTTACGAGGACAAGATAAAAAGTTTATTTAACTTTTTGTAACAAAGTTGATAGAGATTATTATTACATCATATGAAAAAGTAGCTAATGAATATGTTTTATTTTTATTTGTATTGCATTAAAATAACACGATTAAATGACATAACGAGTTGTTAATCTTGAATTTATCTTCCTTATGTGGAAAAAAATACATTTTTTTCTATTTTTTTTTATTTTTTTTAACTTATTTTTTAATTCATTTTTTGTTCTATATCTCTCTCAAAAATAGATAAAAATATATAAACATTATTTCATAATTTCTTTACCTTCGTTATGTATATCTACTTAAATTCATTTGAACATTTCGTATAAATAAATGCAATGTTGTACTTTGCTTCTTAGTTATCTATTATATTATTTTATTTGAACAAACTTGAAAACATATTTTTTTATCTTAAAAGTCACAAGTCGTGTCACGTTATATTTATCATATTATTGTAACGACCTTAAACGAAATAACTAATAAAAGTAGTTCGTAACTTTTTAAATGTATTCATTAATTAATTCGTTGTTGTACTCGTGCACATGCATCTCGAGTTGTAATGATGAACAAACATTTTGCTAAATGAAAATTCAATCGTACTAACATCCAATTTCCCAGACGATGAGAAGTGCAATTCTATGACCCTTAACAGTATTTGGATGCAATCCAACTCGAGCAACGATTCCACGATGATCTAACGCAGAAATAATATATNTGCTCCCTGTTTTCAGGGTTCGATCCAGGTGTGAGAAAAAAGAATTTTCATAATAAAGGAATATTTACAAATCTAGAATTCCTTTCAAATATAAAGTAAAAGATAAATCACCTTTATAGAAAAACATATGTCTATGAGACCTCCTGTAAACTTTTTTATTTTCTTTACTTGTAACATGAGAATCCTACAAAATAGAAAGCGTAGCTTTTCGAATTTAAGATTTCTTCTTCTTCTTTTTTTTTTTTTTTACCAAGGAGAGGTTGCTAGCTTCATCCTCAAACCCTSCTACTTTATCTGGCCTTGGGACCAGCTAGTTATTATCTAGATATGTAGATATTAACTAGACGAAGTTGAATTTAAGTATATTTTTTTAAATTTGGTTTCTTCACTATTCATGTACTTTTGTGTCCAAATGTCTAAATGACAAAAAAGAAAAAGAAGAAGAAGAAGAAGAATAAAAAAAGGTAAAAGMAAAACCTTGAAAAAGAATTTCATTAAGAACGCTTTCTAAATATCAAGGTAAAAGAATACCCCAAACGTGATATTTCTTAGATTTGTCGATTTTACGCTAAATTGTTATGTAGCATTATTTGAAWTATATTTGATCTATTCAAGCAAAAATTGATCTTATCAGATAGTTTTTTTTTTCCAAGGCCTAAGAAAATAAAATCTGTAGAAGTTCAAAATCCAAATSGAATTGTAATGCAAGTTTAATAAACGTATGGGGAATGATTTATTACATTTTATAAACCATTCATACAATTCTTTTTAAAAATTTAAGGGATTTTCCATACACTTGTACACCCCCTATATCCCTCCTATTCCCCTATACCCCCCCGCCTTTCCCTTATATCCCTTCTAGTCTCTATATCCAGAGTACCCTCTATAGGGTATCTCCTATACCCCGCCCATCTCAATACATTGAACTAAGTATCAATACTTTTTTATTGGTTTTATTTTCTTTTATTTTTTTCCAAACAGTTTCGTGCATAGCAGTTTCAATTTCTTCCTCATTTTCACTTTCGGAACTAACTATAAATCTCTTTCTTTTTTGTCCTCTTCGTATATTCAAAATATTCTCTTCGTCTGTATGTATTGCAAAAAAAAACGTATGCGGAAAATGCACGAACGAAATTCAATACATATGTAAAAAATGTGCTCGATAAAAATCAAAAATAAAAATTTTTAAAACCGTCCGATTTGGCTTGGAATACCCCATGTACATACCTATATGTACCTGCGGAGAGGTAGCCAAAGGGACGGTTTTTCTTCTGATGGTGTTTTTTGCGACGGTGTTAAAGTAAAATGAATATACGGCTCTCCCTGATACATCAATTTGTTGATAAGATGTTCCGTCAGTTTGATGACTATGAAAAAAGAATTTTCGAATGATAATGTTAACTGTCAAAATACAAAAAATAAAATAAATAAATAAATAAATAAAAGATCAAAAGCTATAAAAGTAGTAATAGTGGATTATCGATGATGATACTTCTTACAATGTGACGTATAATATAATATTTCAAAATGAACAAATAATGGAAGGTGGATTTTCTTTGTTTTAAAGTATGATGTCTAAAAAGAAATAAAAGAAAAAGAAATAACAATTATTGCATTACGTGTCTCTAATGAGTTTAAAGGGGCTTGATTTAGACAATAATAATGTGTTTTTGTACAGTACAGTCCATTTTTACGGTTTATGCTCATTGGTCAAAACTCTTCTATACGAAACTATTTTATTATTTATTCCTATGATTTGATTGGCCCACTTTGTTTTTATAAATACTATGCTATATTTTATACTTATTGTTGTTATATTACATATTGTCTGATAGCGGCTGTCAAGAAGAATCTAATGATGTGTAACATTAATATTTTAAAAAATTTGTAAAAGATCAAATTTAGCGATCAAGAAGGTTACAATATAGGTTAATACTTAGAGTGAGACGCCATGTCTGGCAGGGACTTTTTTTAAAATGAGCGTGATGCTCCACGTGTTAAAGCTCTTCAACAACCTAACAACAAAATTCTAATGTCATATTGTAGTCCTGAATTTTTCATGCAACTTTTTCTGTATCCACTTTTCTGCTATTATCATACCTTCGGAGCTATTTAGGTGAAAAAAGTTAGCAAATCACTGGAAGAGATATTAACCCCTTAAGTTGTATTCTATGTTGCTAGAAAGATTTTCATTAATTTTATATTTTTTTCATTTTCTGCCAAGACAATGTTCTAAAATGTGTTTTTTTACATAAAAAAAAATCATTTATTTGATCTATTTAGAAGACACATAAAGTGAACAGATGATACAAATGGGCAAACCTTTCTCTCTCTCTCTCTCTCTCTCTCTCTCTCTCTCTTTCTTTCTTTCTTTCTCTCTCTCACACAAACGTGTTGTCAACAATAACAAGATACACTATTATTACCTATATTTTTTCTCTTACTAATTTATATTACTATTATTATATATTAATATAATATATTTTATATATGGTAAGAAAAAAAGAAGACGTTTACTCTGTAGAACAATCAACCACTCGTCGGGGAATCCCTTAAGCGCGTGCATACGGACAATCAGAGTAAAGTTCAGCACATATGCACATGTTGTGTGTACACTCACACACATATGATGGTAAAACGCGGATTCATTCATAAATCGAAAGTTGTTGTGTCTCTCTTCTCGTAGCACGCGCCGTTTTATATCTCTATCTCTCTTTATCCCTGGCATTAATGTATTACGAGTGGGAGAAAGAGGTGACAAAAATAGTACAGCAGATATGGATGATCTTACGTAACCAACTGTGCAAGTGAGAGAGAAAGAGAGAGAGAGCGAGAGAAACATATTCAAATATTCACTCCTTTCTTTTGTTCTTTGTATCATTGATTTTATTTTTTTATTTTTATTTAATTTTTCACAGATCCATTATGCTCTTGCACTAAAGAAGAAGAAGAAGAAAAATATAATATATATATATATACATATATAATTGGTATCTGTATGTAGATCCCACTGATTGTGTTATACCTGGGTTGTGTTTGCTGGCTAATTTACTGGTACTGATATTATTTTTTTTATATATATGAGAGTTTATTTGCAATCTATTACAAGGTAACAATAAGCAAATTTGTTGGTAAAAATAGAATAGTACAAGAATAACATGTAGGTATTTCGCTCAATAGCTAATACCTTCTTAATATTAATATCACATGTATGATGTATATCTTAATGTAACAAAAATATAATATTATATATTTAACCTTAACTCAGAGTACTTGAAATATACTTGAACCAGGTCTGAAGCTAGTGTTAGGTTGGAGTGAGAAGCCATGATTGCAGTGTGATCTGCATAAGTAGCGGTGGTTGTTTNTATATATATATATATATATATATATATATATATGGATGTGTGAATGTATTATACTCGTGTCATGTACGTTGCGATGTGTGAACATCGAATTTCCGGCGTCAGACGCTACTGGCGCGAGTTAAGCAGGCACGTGGTGGCGCGCAAAGTCTCTTCCGTAAGTACCAACGGGGCTCACTTCACTACCAACAAGGATTTTACTTTTCTTTCGCGAATTTCTTCTCTTACTTACTAGCTGATTTCTCGTGCCGTCTTTCTCGCCGGCTGTCAACTCGTCTTCTTG